GTTGCTATGACACACACTGACCACCAGGGGGCAGGCGCTCAATGCAGGAGCTGCACCCTGGTGGTCAGTGCGCTCCCACAGGGGAGCACTGCTCAGCCAGAAGCTGGGCTCATGGCTGGTGAGCGTAGTGGTGGTGGCAGGAGCACTAGGGATGTCTGACTGATGGCTTTGGCCCCTTCCCAGACTGTGAGAGGGCGCATGCCGGGCTGAGGGACCCCCCCCCCCAAATGCACAAATTTTGTGCACCAGGCTACTAGTCCCATATAATATAGAGATATGCAAATTAACCCTCATGCCTTCACAAAATGGCTGCCTACAACCAGGCCAGCAGGAGGGTTAGTGAGGGACAACCAAATGACTGAACAGCAGGCTGTGTGGGGCAACCAGGGTGGCAGGGAGATTAGTGAGGGATGACAAAATGACTGAACAGCAGGCTGTGTGGGGCTACCAGGCCAGGGGGGTGAGGGTGACCTGGCTGGTAGGGGAGGGGGGCATTGGGGGCAACCAGGCCGGCAGGGGGTGCAGTTAGGGGCGATTAGGCTGGCAAGGGGGGCAGTGAGGGGCAACTAGGCCAGCAGGGAGGAGGAGCAGTTGGGGGTGAGCAGGGGACAGTTAGGGGCGACAGGCTGGCACACAGAGGCAGTGAGGGGCAATCAGGCCAGTGGGGGGGTTGGGGGGGGCAACCAGGCAGGCAGGCAGATGTGCACTTAGGAGCCAGTGGTCCAGGATAAACCAGCAGTTGGACATCCCCCAAGGGGTCCCGGATTGGAGGGGGTGCAGGCTGGACTGAGGGGATCCCCCGCCCCGCATGAATTTCATGCATCGGGCCTCTAGAGTTTCTATAAAAGGAGTTGATATTCAGGTAAGAAAGTCCCAAAGTATCTCCTTCATAAAATATTCTCTGGACATTTAAGGCTTTTCTGCATTGTGAATTTTTAGATGTCCAACCAGGATATGTTTGTGGATAAAATATTTCCCACATACATTACACTCATATGGCTTTTCTCCAGTGTGAACTCTGTGGTGTTGAATGAGGTTACAATTTTGACTGAAGAACTCCCCACAATCACTACACTGATATGGCTTTTCACCAGTGTGAACTCTTTTGTGGTTAAGGAGTTGAGTACTGTAACTGAAAGATTTCCCAGAGTCACCACATTGATACGGCTTTTCCCCAGTATGAAAACTTTTGTGGTTAAGGAGTTTACTATTGTACCTGAAAGATTTTCCACATTCACTACACTCATATGGTTTTTCTCCAGTGTGAACTCTATGGTGTTGGTTGAGGTTAGACCTATATCTGAAGGACTTCCCACAATCAGTACATTGATACAACTTTTCTCCACTGTGAACTCTCTGATGCTCAGTGAGAGTAGTGATTTTCTTAAATGACTTCCCACAATAACTGCAGTCATATGGCTTTTCTCCAGTGTGAACTCTGTGGTGTTGAATGAGGTTACAATTTTGACTGAAGGATGTCCCACATTCACTACATTGATACGACTTATCACCAGTGTGAACTCTTTTGGGGTTAAGGAGTTGACTGTTGTACCTAAAAGATTTTCCACATTCACTACACTCATAAGGTTTTCCTCCAGAATGAACTTCTTGAAGTTCAATGAGATTACAGCTTATGCTTAATGACTTACTGCTATCAGTACACTCATATGGCTTTTTTCCAGTGTGGACTTTCTTTTGGGTAAAGAGGAGATTCTTATGCCTAAATGATTTCCCACATTCACTAACCTCAAAAGGTTTTTCAACAGTGTGAACTCTATGGTGTTCAGTGAGAGAAGAACTTTGATGAAAGGGCTTTCTACAATCATGACACTCACAGGAATTTTTTCCAGTGTGAACTCTCCTATGTCGATTGAGGTTAATGTTACATCTAAAACCTCTTCCATATTCTTATACTCATATTTCACTTCGCCAGAGCAGACATCCTGGTGTTGAACAAATTTATGTCTGTAGCTTGCAGCATTTTTACATTTGCCTTATTGGTGATTAGTAATTTTCCACTGAGAATTTCTGTGAAAACTCACTACCACTGTGAGGCTTCCTGTGCTAAGAGATGCCTGGGGCTGCAACAGCCCCGAGATGGCTGAGAAGTCTTTCCCAGGCTCACTAGTGGTTGAAGGCACTCCTGAGATGTAGAAGGTGCACCTGCTCACAAACAAGGCCCTGTCCATAGCTTCTTTCCAGGACTTGTCTCCACTGACATCCCTCTGTTGCTGGTGATGGTTTACATGGAAACTGAACCTCTAACACATGTGTCACTGAAAAAGGCTTTCTGTTCAAAGTATGCTGCTTGTGACTCAGTCAGGTGCAGAATATCTTTTAAAACTGAGAAACACCGCTTACAGAGATGGGTCGTCTGGGCTGGTGGAGCTGTCTTAGAAGCCATGAATTTTGCTTCCACTTGTACAGATACACTCTCATCAGAACAGGCCTCTTCATCATACATTTTATGCCAACATCCTGAAACAGAAATATGGTGAGAAAATAAATGTTGACCAGTGATACAGGGATGTTCCATTAAAAAAGTGTGTTGTACATATTACCTTGGCTTCATACAAATGGCTGAAAATAAAAGATTTCCAGGAAGGATTTATAGGATGCTGATGAAGTTCTGGGCTACTGAAGATCAAGAACAAGGTAGACCTCAAATGAAATATGACACAAGCATGGCAAGCACCACATGGAACAGAAAAGGAATCACCTGCTCATTCTTCTGCTATCAGCATTCAACAGAGCTTGTCTGCTGGTGACATGGGCAAGCGGTGCACAATGTTGGGTACACCTTATCCCAAGTAAAATTTAATAAATGAATAGCTTGTGTATGAGGTCTACTTAAGCAAGTATGCACATCTCATAACACATGTACAGGTCAATGTTGGAGAATACTGCAGAGAAAGCCTTGCAGGGGCCAGGTGATACAAAAAGGCCAGAAGGTAAAGGTAGCCAAAAGCCAGGAAGTCACAGATGAAATGACAAGTCAGCAAAGTGTCATGTATGGGATAGAAAAGGTAGAAATGAGCTGCTGCCAGTGGCACTTGCACCGAAACATTGATGGAAATTAGCAGGTCCCTTGTATGATCTGAACACAGCCCTTATGTCATACTTTTCCCAGCTGCCACTCAACAGGGCCAGATCTCCTCTGAAATCATGCTGCATGTTCACCCTGTAAAAAAACCAGGGTTCTCCCTGCACTTTCTGAGGTACAAGTATGTAAAACCTAAATATTCAAAGAATTAATGAAAGACACCAGAGGTGAGCAGCCAGCACTGGCCCAAGCAGCTCAGCATGCAATAGTATTCAGGGAAGAGAATACTACAAATAATGGAAGGAGAATATCACAATAATCGCCCATGGTTCGTTTAAATGAAGACCATAACCAGGCTCAGGCAGTCACCAATGACCCTTAGCGGGAGGAAGGGTACAGAAGTGGAAGCCATGGATCTGGACATAGTCACTCTCCCAGGAAGAGGAAGTTAAGGTGGGTCCCTTTAAACTGTCTGCAAGACTCATGACTTCCACACACTCCCTGCACTCTCTGAGGCAATGGGTGTTAGGGGTGTTTGGTGAGTCCATTGCTCAGGGCTCTCCACACAGCTCAGCACATGTATCCACAGAGCATATCACAAGAATGTGGCTGAAATTAGCAGAGCCCATGGTTTGGCTGTGGAATAAAGAAAGTTATGTCTAAAGAATAAAGGAAGAGGGGCCATCACCTCAGGACACTAGAAAATGTGAAAATCTTACCTAAAAATGATACAAGTCCAAACATTTGCAGCATCACATTGCAGCATAGATGTCTCTGATCCTCATCAAGGAGCCCCCATTCCTTCTGAGAGAAGGCAATGGCCACGTTATCAAAATTCATATCCTGTTATAATGGGGACAGTTCAGCCCATGATCAGCATCTCTCCTATGATTTTCTGTTCATCATACTGCCCACCCTATACATCCATCCTTCCCCTCTACTACCTTTATCAGAGTAGGTACCAGGGCTTAGTCCTTATATGCCAACTGATACCTTATATGCCAACTGATACCGCGTCTACCCACAACAATAAAGTTTGATGAGCAGATAAAAGGTATCTGATTCCTGGGCCTCACATGTAGGTCACACAGCCTCTTCTCAATACAGCTGAGGGAGAAATGTTGGCCATAAAGAGAGTGTGATTGATTTGACACTGGTCTTATCAGGCATTCCCCCTGTAGTGCCCCAGAATGTCCCTACAAGACCCAGAAAAGCTTGGGATCACACTTTACTCTTTGGAACTCAATCCTAGGATGCTGGGTCTATCACCTTTCATTAACTTTGAAACACACTCCTCTCACACAGCCTCTTAACCAGAGTCGCAATTTCAAAAAAAATAACACCAATATGCCTTGTTGTGGCCAGGATTTTTACTAATCACCTTCTTTTCCAAAATTCTAACTCACCACTTCGTAATGTATTTCTCTCCTTCCGGATGCCTTCCCTATACCAATGGAGATTTTCAAGCCCAGGTGACACTGATGAATGCTATCGTGTTCCTATTGACCACTGCATCTGCCCTCAACAACTGACAGGTGTGCACATCTATAACACCTAAGCTCTGGACAGTGCATGTAGCATGACAATACACCTCTTTTCAGACAATTACACTAAAATTCCACATATTGACATCCAGTCACCACCAAAAATGAATTCACCTTTCATTCACTCTTAAGTCAATTTCAGGGCCCTGTGACCATGAATTAGCATATCCTCTACAACTGCACATCAGTCTTTTTACCACACCTCTCTCACACCTGCACTCCCACAGCCCCAACCACCATAACTATCTCCTTGACCTCCTACTCATTACTCAGCATGTGTGGCTCAGGGAATGAATGCCTGGCAAATTCAAACTGGATGAAGTACTACCCCAACTCTGACAGTCCACACTCATAGAGGCAGCCTTGCATCCTGCTCCAAAGCCCTCCCTCCCTGATTGGTTTTTACTTCCACCTCACCTAATGAAACCACATCAGCTCACAGATATCCAGAGCCCACCACCACTGGTGCTGCACTTGATGTCCCTTCATGAGTCACAGCCTTCATAACTCAAGTCCCATAGCCTGTGTCCCTGTAACCCATGCCCACCGAAGTACCTGTCCTTGACTAGAATCGAACCTGGGACCCTTCAGTTTGCAGACTGACGCTCTACCCACTAAGCCCAACCAGGCAGGGCCCTGCTGCTGGTTTTTAAAAATTGACATAAGTACCTGAACCCAGGAAGCAGGGTAAGGGGCATTCCCGGGGATGGTGGGAGGGGTGGGGAGAAAGGAAATTCAGGGTGTCAGTGTCTTCAATGGCAGAGGAGCACAGGCCACATGCAGTGAGCACAGGCTTCTGGCAGAACCTCCCGCAGGGTGCACCTGGCCCCAAGGGCGGGCATCTCACCTCTCGACTTGGCTGAGGAAGCGGTGGACAGGTTGAGTGCGTTGGGACACCTTCTCAGGGGCTGCGGCATGAAGTCATTTCTGCCCAGAGAGGAGGCAGCCGCGATTCTGTAACACACACAGTAGGAAGATGTGTCGGCTGAAGCCAAACAGCCTCTCACTCACGCTGGCTCTGCCTTGAGGAGCCTACATACTGAAGGGCAGGGTGGGGGTGACTGTTACACCATGACTCTGGAGTAGCCCAAAGTGCTAGAAGTGACGCCCCGAGATGTCGTTGCATTGGAAGAGCGTCTATTCTGAAGTTGGTCTTGGCAGTAGGCAGTGGTCACCTGGGAGTTAACCCCACCAGGACCCTGCCAGTGGGAGGGGCTTAGCTCCTGTGTGACCAGCAGGATCCTGTCAGTGGGAGGGGCTTTCATTTTCTGTCTCTTTTTCTCCCCGAAACAGAGACAGAAAACGAAATGCTGCTCCTGTGAGCTCCCAATGACGGCCGGTCTCCAGAGGGCACACCTTGCTGACCGGACACCACTTTTCCCTTTGTCAGAAGGGCGTTGATATAAGCCAAAACCCCTCCATATTTATTCATTATCCTAGTCCTGTATAAGACAATTTTCTGTTATCCAACCCCTGTCAAACAATAGGGTAATTTTGTTGTTGTTGTTCACTCCTCACTTTAATGCACAGGGTTACCGTGCATACTCCATAGGATATCACTCTTTTCAAAAAAGTCTAGAGCAGCCAGACTGGCATGGCTCAGTGGTGGAGCATCAACCTATGAACCAGGAGGTCACGGTTTGATTCCTGGTCAGGGCACATGCCCGGGTTACAGGCTCCATCCCCAGTGGGGCTTGCAGGAGGAAGCCGGTCCATGATTCCTCTCATCATTGATATTTCTCTCTCTCCCTCTCCCTTCCTTTCTGAAATCAATAACAATATATAAAAAACAAAACAAAAGAACAGGAAAATGGGATGGGGGAGTCAGAGAGGCAGAGAGCCAGAGGGAGTGGTTCCCACTGGTTCTGATACCACATCAGAAAGGGTGGGGGCGGGAGGCTCTTACCGCATCCTCAGCTTCCTCTGCAGCAGCTGCAGGATGTTGGCCGACTGCTGGTGATACTCTAGAGCCGCCTGGATAAACAGCGCCAACTGGCCAACTTGCTCTACCTGCAGGGAAGGGGACGTTATCCCTGGCGGCCAGAGCCCGTGGGAGCCGGAGGCGGGACATGAGCCCAGGGACAAGGCCTTGCAGGGAAGCCGCATCAGCCTCGGCTCATTTAATATCACAAGGAGCAGGTGATCATCACGCAGGTCCAGGTGCATAGAGCTAGTGATGCCGGCCGCACATGTGCACATTGAGTTCTGATTATAAATGTGCTTTAACTCAATCAAACGCCGATCAGCCCACGGAGAGGATATTCTCGGGAGATTTTCTTTTATGCTATAAAGTTCATCAATCTGAGAGCATCAGCCTGGGGACCAAAGGGTCCCGGGTTCGATTCTGGTCAAGGGCACGTGCCTTGGTTGCAGGCTCCTCCCCGGCCGGGCCCAGGTTGGTGCTCCTGCAAGAGGCAACCAATTGACGTTTCTCTCACATGGATGTTTCTCTCTGTCTCTCCCTCTTTCTTTCACTCTCTCTAAAAATCAATGGGAAATATTCTTGGGCGAGGATTAACCAAAAATGAGCAAATAAATAAAATAATGTTTCTTTAAAAAAATTAAGGTTCATCATCCATCTGAAAGAGAGATCAAGCTTTTTCTATGACAAGGGAAACCAACACTGAGCGAATGAATGGTTCCCTTACTAAAGTGTCTCTTTGTGTCCTTTCTACTTAAGTCCAGTCAGGAGACTAAGTACATCCTGCTCTTCTCAGACAAGAGGGACCTAGTGCAGCACCCCCTGTAGGTTCTTGCCGCTACGATAGCCTTCTCTAAGACAAACAGATGAAAGAAATAAATTCTAAAGATGGTGGCATCTTTCTTTCCCACCATCCAGACATTTGTGGAAGCTGTGACCAAACATCAATGGACACACAAAAAAATCACATCAGCCCAGCCGGCATGGCTCAGTGGTTGAGCATTGACCTAAGAACCAGGAGGTCAGGGTCCAATTCCCAGTCAAGGCACATGCTTGGGGTTCGGGCTTGCTCCCCAGTATGGGGCGTGCAGGAGGCAGCCGATCCTTGATTCTCTCTCATCATTGATGTTTCTCTCCTTCTCCCTTCCTCTCTGAAATCACTAAAAATATAAATATATTTTAAAAAATCAAAAGGTTAAAAAAAAATCAAAAGGCCATGTGCCCCAAGGAAGCCCTGGAAATGCATCATTTGGGGAGAGGAGTCTCTAGCAGGCCTGCCAGCTGCCCAGGTTTCCCACCTTTCCGAGGTGCTGCCATGGAAAAGAGTGGCTCACTGAGCTCATTTCTGGGGGCCACAGAGGCAAGTTCACTGGCTGCAGGTGCTGGGGGCCTCCAGCACAATCCCACACTCCAAATCCAAACAAAGACACAAAACAAGATAAAACCCCACCCCCTTCCCCAGCTCCCCAGAGCCTCTGCATCACTTCCTTAGTCCCCTTGCTCTTCGGCCTTGGGCAAAGCTGGCCCTGTGACTCACCCCACAACACCCACCAAAACAGGTCTGCCTCAGAGATCCAAAGTGGCTCCACTTGTGCCCTGGCCAGTTTGACTCAGTGGATAGAGCGCCAGCCTGCAGACTGAAGGGTCCCGGGTTCGATTCTGGTCAAGGGCACATACCTGGGTTGTGGGTTCAATCCCCAGTAGGGGGCATGTAGGAGGCAGCCAATCCATGATTTCCTCTCATCACTGATGTTTCTCTCTCTCTCTCCCTCTCCCTTCTTCTCTGAAATCAATAAAAAGTACATTACAGCCCTGAGCAGTTTTGCTCAGTGGATAGAGCGTCGGCCTGCGTACTGAAAGGTCCCAGGTTCAATTCCGGTCAAGGACATACACCTTGGTTACAGGCACCTACCCAGTGGGAGGTGTGCAGGAGGCGGCTGATCTATGTTTCTCTCTCATCGATGTTTCTAACTCTCTCCCTTTCCCTTCCTTTCTGTGGAAAATCAATAAAATAGATATTTTTTAAAATTAAAATAAAATAAAAAATACATTACAAAGTGGCTCCATTTGGTGTCCCACACCACGCTTTCTCTGCTATGCGTTCACTTTCCTTACCCACTTAGACCATTTCAACCACGGATTCCCAGGGCAACTCAGACACACCAGGATGGGCATCGGAACAAGGAAACCGCACCACATGCGTATGCCAAGTCTGTGGGGCAAGAGCACACGCTGGGCCTCAAGGTCAAAACCCAATACACAAAACATAGACAGCCTGGACCCTGTGAAATCCTATGGATTTCTTCAGTTTCACCTCTTTGGCTCTGACACATACTTTTTATTTTAATATATTTTTATTGATCTCAGAGAGGAAGGGAGAGGGAGAGAGAGAAACATCAATGATGAGAAAGAATCATGTATCGGCTGCCTTCTACATGCCCCCTACTGGGGATTGAACCCACAACCCAGGTATGTGCTCTTGACCAGAATCGAACCCGGGACCCTTCAGTCTGCAGGCTGGCGGCTCTACACTGCCACCTCTGTCCTCAGGAAAGTGAACTTCTATTTTAACACCCACTTCGCAATATGCATGGCATTGCAGAACGTGAAAAGGAATCGTGGAAGAGAACTAAATGAACATTCTTTTTGTTTTGTTGTTTTGAATCCTCACGTGAGGATATTTCTTCTATTGGTTTTTAGAAAGTGGGATGTGGGGCACGATTACGGTGTTTTGGCCAGGTTCAAGCCTCAGACTAATGAAACGACAGGGTCCTCTCATTGCCACGTGCAAGTCCCAGCTGGAGGACAGGGCCCTCCCAGCACAATTATAGCCAATGGCTGTGGTTGTAAGCTTGAACCTATGGTCCAAACACGTAGCCCCACGTGCCTTGTGATAGAGTTCGGGTGCATGTAGTTGAGTGAGGTTGAAACTCACGAGAATGCTGTAAACAACGTGATCACGCCCCTACTTTGCCTCGTGGCACCTGCTATAAAATAAAGACACGGCTTGTGGGCGCTGTCGTTGTCTCCTCATCAGGGAGGCAGCGTCCCACCAAGACCCAGCTTTCATTCTCTTGTCTGTCTTTCCTTAATCCTTTCACCCCCCCTACTTGGGATCACCCTTGGTCGTGCTGGCATGGCACAGTGGGAGAGAGAGAGAGACAGAGAGAGAGAGACAGAGAGAGAAACATTGATGTGAGAGAGGCACATCGATTGGTTTGTCTTCGCACACGACCCAACCAGGGCTGGGGATCAAGCCTGAAACCAAGGTACGTGCCTGAACCTGGGACCCTTCAGTCCACAGGCCTATACTCTTTTCACTGAGCCAAACATTCTTTGAAACACTAAATGAACATTCTTTGAAACACTATGGGGTTGGGATGGGCGGAGGGGACATCAGCAGCTCTTCTCTCTCATGTGGCTAAAATACAAGATTATGTCACGGAGAGATGCATTTGTCATTAGTCACTTCCTCCCTTACTGGCTGACATCAGGAAAGACATGCATCCCTGGACCCCTTCCAACCTGGGCTGTGTACACACATAATAGGTGCTCCCTGCAACCAGGGGAGAGGTAGTTACTAAGCTGAGTCACTTGTCATGTGGAGGCTCCTAGCTGTGTCCGGGCCACGAGCAGCCAGCTGTGTGTTGTGGCCTCTGCTTCCCAAACCACACTTAGAATGAAATACCTGGACACAGCCGGCATGGATCAGTGGTTGAGTGCCGACCTAGGAACCAGGAGGTGATGGTTCGATTCCAGTTAGGGCACATGCCCAGGTTGTGGGCTCAATCCCCAGTAATGGGCGTGCAAGAGGCAGCTGATCCATGATTCTCTCTCATCATTGATGTTTCTCTCTTTCCCTCCTTTTCCCTCTGAAATCAATTAAATAGATCTATATATATAAAAGGCTAAGTGACTGACTGTACGTCTGTCTGACCGACTGGCCAGTACATATGACGTGCACTGGCAATTTAAAAATAAATGTTGACTGGCACATGCACAATACATATAAAGCTCTCACTGGTGCCAATCGCATGCGCGTTTTAATTTTATAATACTACTAGAGGCCCATTGCAGGAAGATTCCTACAAGAATAGGGCTTCCTCAGGCCTATTCCTGTAAGAATAGGGCTTCCTGCAGCTGGAGCGAAGCAGAGAAGCCTCAGCGGGTTCCACTCCTGTGTCCGCTGCCTCAGCTCCACTCCCGTCTCCGCTGCCTCGGCTCCCTCCCTTCTCCGCCACTTTGCTCCCTTCTGTAGCACTTGGCTTCCTTCTACACCAGTGGTTCTCAACCTGTGGGTCGCGACCCCTTTGGCGGTCGAATGACCCTTTCACAGGGGTCGCCTAAGACCATCCTGCATATCAGATATTTACATTACGATTCATAACAGTAGCAACATTACAGTTATGAAGTAGCAACGAAAATAATTTTATGGTTGGGTCACAACATGAGGAACTGTATTTAAAGGGCCAGAAGGTTGAGAACCACTGACCTAGACCCAGCTTATTCTCTTTGTCTGTCATTTCTTCATCCATTCCATGCCCTCACTCAGGCTTGTGAACCCTTGGCTGAGCTGGTTCGGCACATAATCTCATTTGTATATGCTTCTCATTAGCCAACAATTATATGAGTTGTTCTGTTCCTTTATTTATTTTTTTTTGCTCTGCTTAGCCCTGTCTTCAGTCTTCGCTCCGAGCCTGCATATGCAAATTAATCACCATCTTTGTTGGGTTAATTTGCATACTCATCCTGATTGGCTGGTAGGTGTAGTGGAGTGACACCAATTTGCATGTTTCTCTTTTATTAGTGTAGATATTATATATACTATTTTGACATGTAATTTTTTGCAATAACATAAGTACAGCATGAATCTTTCTTCTAATTAATTTCCTCTCAATGTGCATGAATCCATGCCCCCAGCCACCAGTATAAAAATAAAAGAAATTTCTGGAAACTTTTATAACAACAAAGGCTCCCAGAGCTTCCCCTCAAACACACAGTCAATGTTTCCATTCCCAGGAGGGTCTCCTGGTTGAGGCCAATACTTACGTCATTTTCTAAAAAATTAAACATGCATCTCTCTGCAAAGTCCTTGGACTCCTCAAACTTTTCCATTGCTTGTGTGATCTCGTCATTGGGGATCTTCCCAACGTGCTTCCTTTTATAATCGTAGTCCAGGCGGCGGCCCTCCAGCCTCTTCAGGTGGTGCTGAGGGAGAGGAGACAGACCTGGAGCTGCTATCTCGGCAAGTGACACAGGGAGGCCTGCCGCACCTCTACAAGGAAGGTCATTACTTCTTCTCGGCCTACATTTTAGGGGGCAGGGACCCAATTACTTTTCTTTTTGGTGGGCACCTTAGCATCTATTAGAGGCTTCTTTCACTATAAATTATCAAGGAATATTTACAAAATGAACAAATGGATGGATGGATGGATGGATGATAGCATAAATGGATGAATAGATCGATAGATGGATAGATGATAGTATAAATGGATGAATGGATGGATGCATGGAGGGATGATTCCATAAATGGATGGATGGATGGATGGATGGATGGATGGATGGACAGATGGATGAATAATAGCATAAATGGATGGATGGATGGATGGATGATAGCATCCTATCTAATAAAAGACAAAAAGGGTAATTAACCGTACCTCTGCTATGCTTCCCATTGACTAATCAGCGAGATATGCAAATTAACTGCCAACAAAGATGGCGGCCGGCAGCCATGCAGCTGAAGCAAGCAGAAGGCTTCCTTGCTCCAGTGATGGAGGAAGCCAAGGTTCCCCGCCTGCCGTGGCCTGCTCTAAGCTCC